CCATGTTCAACATCCAGAATCTGGATGTTATGCTGATTGGCTAAGAGACGATAAAACGCATCATGTGATTCAAACCGGAAATATATGACCGGCGTATGTAAACACCAAAAATAGAAAAATAGAATTTGTAATTTTGTCAATATACTGTTAAAAGTGCTTTATTTCTGAAATTTATTTTCAATTAATTAAGCCTAAAAATGACAAAATAAGTACGAAAAGACGTTGAAAACGCTTTATAAAACTAAAACTACATAGTTATAGTAGAAAGCGTGTCTAAATATCTCGCCGTAATAGTCGCCGTAGAACGAAAATATGTGGATGTCGGAAATTTTCAAATATTTAGTTCCAAAAAGCTGAAACCTTATTTATCAGTTTATTGCCGAGCTGTTTTCCAAGACCTGCAAGGATATAGTAGTCAGCTCGCTCGAACTAATATGCCAACATCAGGCAGAAATTGAAGACAATAGCCGCTGCGTCAGACGCAGTTGAAGCGAATAGCTGTCTCGAATAAATTATCAACATGACACCGAGGACCGAGGAAGAAGAAATCCTATTCAGAGCGCCGAATGCTGTCTCTTTAGACTCCTGGAAAAAGCCATCGAGCTATGGTTCCCCGAATGAGGCATAGTTTACGCTTACAATCCGTCATGTGGATATTTCGACAAAAACATACCGATTTTTCTCCGTATTTATTCAAATTTATACAAAACTGCAAATAACGAAATTTGCGTATGTACATACCTGTAGTGGACAACCGGAAATATGCTACAACCGGAAATAATTTTAATTGGCTGATATTCTGGGGGTGGAAAGCCCGTAGAGGCGAATTGTGTCAGGCTCTCTTCAATACTGAGGGCCTGATACTCAGGTTAGCTTTTCTTTAATTAAACTGTAGAGAAAATGGCAGATCATGATCTTTATACTGCAGCTCGTATATTTTGTGAATTGGCGACTCGATTACGTATTTATCTGCTTCGACTACATCGCTATCTGCCGAGAATAATATTTTAAGTTGGTCATGTACTGTTGCTGCAAGCACTTCCACCTCTACTGCATGCTATAGCCCCAGAACTATAATAATATTTAAAATTTATATTGCGCATATTGCAAACACTATTTCCGCACCATTTTTCCTCAACTTCTAGATCTAGGCCAGCAAGTTACAATAGAAATCGCTCCAGTTCACGCACTAAGAGAAACGGACAATAAATCTATAAAGAAATGTATTACAAGAAAATTTGTGTGTTTAGCAGATAAAGAACAACAGGAAATTCCAGATCGTGAAGAACAAAGAGAGCTATTGATAGCAAGACTTGGGTCACTTGGGGAGGCGAAAGTGGCCGTTCCTGAAGATGCCAATGAAAACGACATTCGGGAACAATTAATCCAGAAGTGCTTGCAGCAACAGTAGATGATGAACTTGAAATATTATTCACTGGGGAGAAATGTGAAATCCATACTCTGAGATTTGCAATTGCACCACTATTATAATCCATAGTGTAGGATATTTAGCATATATTATATTATGGAATGTTGTGGAAGCACCATGTGGAAGCACCATGTAAATAATAAGTAATGGCAGGCGGCCATTACTGCCATTGTGTATTCTAAAATATATACTTGGTTAGTTTGGTTGTAATCAGTGGACTTGTGGTTCAATCCGTATTTGTTAGATTCTACAATTGGCGACGAGGATGTCTTAAAGAGTTGAACTATAGTTTTAAACGAAACTGAGTTCAAAAGAGTTTGATATCGGAGGATTTCGACCGTTTGATGTGAACAGTGATCCGAACAGTGTGGGTGTGAATGGAAAAGATGGCTTCGCACTTTTCAATTATATGCTGACGGTAAAGGACTTATTATTGAGGCTGGAAATGACGACAATAAGGTACAGCAACGAGCACTTCTACTTCATTGTGCTGGATCGGATGTCCAGGTCATTTTCGATGTTTTGCCTGAGACGGGGAACGCAAAAGAATACGAGAAGGCCGAAGAAGCTTTAACCAGACATTTTGTCACCCAAGTCAACGTTCCGTATGAGCGACACATGTTCAGAGAATTGGCACAGAATGAAAACGAAACGATTGATCAGTTTGCTGTACGCTTGCGACGTAAAGCTCAGCAGTGTGATTATGGAGATCAGCTGGAGTCTCAGATCAGGGATCAAATTATTTCCAGATGTCGGTCGAGTGATCTGCGCAGGAAGTTTCTGGAGAATGGTCAGACGCTTATCCTTAAACAATTACAAAAAATAGCAAGAACGTCTGAAGCTGCGAAACAGGGGTGGAAAATTTTTTTTTCTTTCTGGGAACCTGGGTCGAAGGCTAGAAATTTTCTGTAAAATTTGTAATGTTACAATTACAAAAATTTGTAATGTTACAATTACATAATTATTGTATTATTTGTACTTTAATAATGGGCTTTAGGCTGGTTTTCGTACGCTTGTACTTCACAATAGTTGTCTGTTATATACCACAGTTATGAGTTATGACCAACTAGTAAGGATCTTGATTTTTTCTGTGTTGGTGTTATGTACTAAGGTGAATATGATGTTTGTGATGTTACTCTGAGTGTATATCCACACCGGGCAAAGTTGAAAAATATGCCTGGCCACGATGGGAATCGAACCTACGACATTTGGATTACTAGCCCAATGTTCTGCCAACTGAGCTACGCGGTCAGGTCGGTTCGAGTATGTGATATTTCGGACCTGAGTTTAGTTCCTTCAACATCAATGTAATCTAGTATTCCAAAGGTCGTATAGGTTCGATTTCCACCGTGGCCAAGCATATTTTTCAAGCTTGCCCTGTGTGGATGCACACTCAGAGTAACATCACAAACATCATATTCACCTGAAAGAACTAAACTCAGTTCCGAAATATCACATACTCGAACCGACCTGACCGCGTAGCTCAGCTGGCAGAGCATTGGGCTAGTATTCCACAGGTCGTAGGTTCGATTCCCACCGTGGCCAGGAATATTTTTCAAGCTTGGCCGGTGTGGATACACACTCAGAATAACATCACAAACATCATAGTAAGGATCTAACGCTTAACTAAGTGTCCTATCATCTTATTTATTCCATCACTTTTATTTGTTTACTATTTAATTTGCATTTTATTGGAGACTTTGCAGAGCATATATTTACCATTTTACCAGTCATTGTGATGGCAGGGGTGGGTAAAATAATTAATTTCTGTCAAATATTTAAAAGTTGCTGATGTTAGCGTGTACAATGTAAATAAAGTAGAATAGTTGTAACTTGAGTAAACAGAGTTATCTCAAAAATTTGAAATATTTTCAGGAAAATTTTCTGCAAAACTCTCAACTCAAAAAAAAATTCTGGGAACTAGGTTCCCAGGTTCCGATACTTTTTCCACCCCAGCTACGAAAAGACAAGCAAAGAGTATGAGTGTTCATAATGATGGAGTGAACCGAGTTTCTGAAAGGCCTGGTCGACAAGACAGACGTGAAAGTAAAGGTGAGAAAGGTGGAAAAGTTAAGAAGAGTGGTGAATGTTTTCGATGCGGAAAACCAGGACATTTTGCCAGAGATCCCAGATGCCCTGCGAAAGGAAAGGTTCCAAGTGCCACCAGAAAGGTTATTTTGCTGTGGTATGCAAAACCAAAAGTATAGATCACGGCAAACCAAGAATGAGTTTTGTCGATGAAGAAGATGAATATGCCTTTACTGTTAAACAAACATTGGACACGGGGAAAGTGACAGTGTCTGTTGGAGGTGTTCCATTGGAGATGGTCATTGATTCCGGAGCGAGTACGAATGTCATTGACAAACATCTGTGAGAAGATTTAAAGAAAAAACATATTAAATGCACTTCGAGAAAAACCACAAAGAAACTGTATGCCTATGGATCAACAACTCCCCTTATAGTAACAGGAACATTCACAGCAGATGTAAATGTAGCTGATAGACACGAGACAACAGAATTCACAGTTATCGAAGGAAAGGGGGAGCCGTTGTTGGGACGAAAGACAGCAACCGAGCTTGGAGTCCTAAAGTTACAAATTCCAGAACAGTTTGTGAACAGTGTGACTGATCGTGTTGCGAGACATAAAGTTTTGTTCCAAGATATTGGGAAACTGAAAGAGTATCAAATGAAGCTGCATATTGATCCGCAGGTTCGACCAGTTGCACAGTCTGTTAGGCGGACTGCATTCAGCTTGAGAGGAAAGATCGAGGAAAAACTTGACAAGTTACTTCGTGAAGACATTATCGAGAAAGTTGATGGGCCGACCCCGTGGGTGAATCCAGTTGTGGTGGTGCCAAAGGCGAATGGTGAGGTCAGGTTATGTGTGGATATGCGATGTGCCAACACAGCGATTATAAGGGAGAGACTTCCGATTCCAACTATTGATGCAATACTCCAAGATATGCAAGAGGGATGTGTTTTCAGCAAGCTAGATCTCAAGTGGGGGTACCACCAGATAGAATTAAGTGAAGAATCCAGAAGCATCACAACTTTCGTGACGCACAAGGGTTTGTTGAGATACAAGAGGTTGATGTTCGGTATAAGTTCCGCGCCAGAGAAGTATCAGCAGGTGATTCAACAAGTGTTGCAGGATTGCAGTGGGACAGCCAACATCTCGGACGACATTATCATTTATGGTTTTGATCAAGCTGAACATGACAAGCGACTAGAAAAAGTGCTGACAAGGCTCGAGGAAAGAGGGTTAACTCTAAGGGAAATGCGTTTTCGATATGCCGAAGCTTACTTTCATGGGCTTACTCCTGTCAAACCGTGGTATTGGTCCTACAGAAGAAAAGGTTAGAGCGGTCGTGGAAGCTCGAGAGTCGCAGAATGTAACAGAAGTGAAGAGTTTCTTGGGCTTGGTGAATTTCAATGCAAGATTTATTCCAAATCTCGCAACTGTTGCATAGCCAATGAGACGATTGACGAAGCGAGGAGTACCATTTTTTTGGTCCTGAGCAGCAAGAATCGTTTAGAGAACTGAAACGTAGACTTGTACAAGCGGAAACCTTGAGTTATTTCAATCGAGAGGCGAAGACCAAGATTGTTTGTGACGCAAGTCCAGTTGGGCTAGGGGCAATTGTACTACAAGAGCACAAAGGAGAGGATCGAGTCATTTGTTATGCCAGCAGAGGTCTTACCGAGGTCGAAAGACGATACTCGCAGACTGAAAAGGATGCGTTAGCAGTAGTGTGGTCATGCGAAAAGTTCCACATCTACTTGTACGGAAGACAGTTTGAACTGTGGACTGACCATAAACCTTTAGAACGTATCTATTCAGCTCGTTCTAGACCATCAGCGAGGATTGAGAGATGGGTTTTGAGACTGCAACCGTATTCGTTTACAGTGAAGTACCTGCCGGGGCATTTAAATGTTGCAGATTCGTTGTCACGTTTGACAAGGATCGGAGAGATGAAGTCCAGAAGTATAGCTGAAGATTATGTCAGTTTTGTTGCAAAGACAGCAATTCCAAGAGCCATGAATTCCAGAGAAATTGAAGAAGCATCTTCGTGCGATGAAGAATTAATGACTGTTCGTCAATGTAAATGTTCGAAATTGGGACAGTCCCAATAATCTCCCGACGGCAATGGACCCATGGAGTCGATAGCGATATCTTGCCATGGCCCCCCGGGTAATTCTGTCATTCGCAATGGCTCTGGATTAATAGGTCTACTCACAACTTGGAATCCATGACACGTTTTTCAGAACTTTTCCGCTTCTTGGTCAATGCCCGGCCACCAGACTATCGTACGCAGTCGTTGTTTCATCTTGAGAATCCCTTGGTGGCCCTCCTGGCCTAATTCAATCACTTTAGGTTGGAGTTTCTGTGGTATGACCAGCCGTGTACCTCTCAAGACAATCTTTCCAACAATACAAAGTTCATCACGAACTGACTTGTAACTGGCGTCAGTTCGTGATGAACTTTGTATTGTTGGAAAGATTGTCTTGAGAGGTACACGGATGGTTATACCACAGAAACTCCGACCAATAGTGATTGAATTAGGCTACGAGGGCCACCAAGGGATTCTCAAGATGAAACAACGACTGCGTACGAAAGTCTGGTGGCCGGGGATTGACCAAGAAGCGGAAAAGTTCTGCAAAACGTGTCATGGATGTCAAGTTGTGAGTAAACCTATTAATCCAGAGCCATTGCGAATGACAGAATTACCCGGGGGGCCATGGCAAGATATCGCTATCGACTTCATGTGTCCATTGCCGTTGGGAGATTATGTTTTTGCTGCAACCGATTACTACAGTCGATACGTAGAGGTGACTATTGCGAAGAGAAATACGACTGAAGTTGCGATTAAAAGTTTGGAAAACATGTTTGCAACCCATGGACTACCGTGGACAGTGACAAGTGATAATGGTCCTCATTTGGTTGCAGAGACGTTCGAATCATTCCTGCAAGAAAACGGAATTGAACACCGGAAGACAACGCGCGCCGTTGTGGCCCCAAGCAAATGGTGAGATTGAACGCCAGAACAGATCTCTACTCAAGAGGATGCAAATATATAGCAAGAGTGGAAGGACAAGACTGGAGGAAAGCAGTGCAAACGTATTTGATTGCATATCGAAATACACCTCATCCAACGACAGGGATGTGTCCTGCTGAATTGATGTTCAGAAGAAAATTGAGAACTAAACTTCCAGAGCTGAGAGAAAATGCTAGATTGGATGAAGAAATGCGAGACAAAGACAGAGAGGAGAAGGAGAAAATGAAAGGTTATGCTGACAAAAGAAGGAATGCCAAGGAGAGCAATTTATCTGAAGGAGACAAAGTGTTGGTGAGACAGCAGCGCATCAACAAGTGGACAACACCGTTTGAAAGTCAACCGTATCAAGTGATTGATAAACACGGAAACAGTGTATTGGTCGAGTCACCCGAAGGTGTTCAGTATAAAAGAAACACTACTCATGTTAAGCCGTTCCAGGAAGGAGAAAGTGGTTCAGAGGAAATCGAAATGTCAGCGACAGTACCTGAAATACCTCCAGAAGAAAGTGTTTTACAGCAAGCGGAGGGAGAAACATCATCTGCAGGGGAAACATCATCGCAAGGTGATCGTGATGGACCTGTGCGTACCAGACGTGCACCAAAAAGATATGGAGATTATGTTATGAAATAAACATTTAGATTACAAAAGTCGAACGTTTGGCAAACATTTTGTATTTAGAACGTTTAACTTAAATTTAGAAACATTATAGGTAGTATTTAGTATATTATAGTGAACTTTTAAAAAACTCTTAAAAACATTGAAAAAAGAAAGGGATGTAGGAAATTTAGCATATATTATATTATGGAATGTTGTGGAAGCACCATGTGGAAGCACCATGTAAATATAAGTAATGGCAGGCAGCCATTGTGTATTCTAAAATATATACTTGGTTAGTGTGGTTGTAATCAGTGGTCTTGTGGTTCAATCCGTATTTGTTAGATTCTACACAGTAGGGCCTATATCCATACTATTTCGATACTAAATCCATAGTATGGAAATATACAATTATTATGGATAATCAAAATGACAGTTGGTGGAAGAGCAGGTAATTGACTCGCCAATTCACAAAATATACGAGCTTCAGTAGAAAGGTAATCTGATTCTGCCATTTTCTCTACAGTTTAATTAAAGCAAAGCATGGTTTTTGCCGAAATGGCGGCCATCTTGGTTTGATATATGTATGCCCGGGGACCTGCTGAACTCGTCACCAGACCTCTGCATAAAAAGTCGCCATTTTCTAAAACAATGCCTCCATCTTCAAAAATAATGACTGCGTTTTCAATGATAATGCTTCCATTTTATAAAAAATTAATGCCTCCATTTTAAAAAGTAATGCTTCCATTTTCGAAAATAATGCCTCGATTTTCAAAAATAAGCACTCAGAATTTTGGCGGTAAGGGCATGTCATACAATTTGGAAAAAAGTTCAAAAGTGACTGCTTCAAAAACGATCAGAAATTCTACAAGTCCAAAGGACGAGTGCAATTTGAAGTCTTTTAACTACTATTACTATTTAACTTAGTCTATTTAACTACTACTACTATTCGTTTGTTTTTCCAAATTGCACAAGAAACCGCCATATACTATTACTCATTAATAATGTACATGAAAAAAATATACACTCCGGCCGCGAACAAATTCATGGTCACGTGCATGCATGAAACAAATGGGAAATAAATAAATAAATTTATCGCCACTCATTTGAACGCAAATTAAATCAAAATGTCTTGTGACTTTTGTTTTGGCGCTTGCCACGTATTTCCTTTTTTGCCAATGTATTTCGATAAAATTGCACCGTTTCCTCTTAGCCAGTCAGTATCGAGACATGTTTACATGTGTTTTAATATTCCTGCAAAGCCATTTTGAGGTGTTGATAATAAATCCATGTGATGTTGAACAAATAGATTGTTTTATATAGTAAATATGTTGAAAACGTTTTGGGCTTTGAAGCACGAAGGAAAGAGATTTTACATTGGTTTGTAACGCTCCTGGGGAAACTCAGTGATTATTGGGTTGAGGATATAACACTATAGCTAGCTGAAATAAGTGGAGTCACCTGTGAGTCCGTCTTCCGGCTATAACAGATAGCTTGTGACTCTTAACCAATGAAAAGGCAGAATGAACTCATAATATTATACAAATGTACTTCACGATTAGATGAAGGAAAAATAAAAATAACAACCTGAAATGAACAATGTTGTGTAAGCATCTTCTCGTATGTTACCTTCGTGCTCAATATGCAAAGAAAAATTCTTCTTATGAGAAAATTGCTTCACCTCTATGAGCGTGAACGCGAATTCTTTCTTTGAAATATCACCAATCCAACTTGCAGTTGTTGCATATTTTTCTATAACTGTCGGAAGTGGTTCTGGTTTACCACTGAGGCCGAACGCATAAAATATCAGTGTTTTTGAATTAGAACCCTCCAAGACATTAAACTGAGTTAGAAGAGATGTCTTGTTTCCAGTGTACAGCCAGCGAAATGTAACATTATCACCAACCAGTACAGTCTGTGGTTCTATTTCTTGGAACTGGATATCAACAGCTTCTACATATAAACAATGAAAATGATGTAAAATATGGATATTATCAAAGGTATGGAAGCGATGCTTTAACAATATCATGTGAAAAATACACGCGCACAGAAATATGTGTGTCATTTTCATTGACATATACATGAGGGTTACGAGGTTTTATTTAGTTAGTAGTGAATCGTTACATCAATTGTAATTATCTATTTATCTACACTATTGTCTTAATGTAGAAAAATTTTGATGCAAGATGGCGGTCAGTTCTAATTATGTTAGCTCTACAAAAAGCGTTAATATTTATTCAATTAAAACAGTGGGATGTCAAAGAAATTCAAGAACATCCAACCTGTATAAACTTGAGCTACGATGGTTCACGTATTAGATAGAGTGGGAGCTTTGATATGCTAAAAGAATTTGTCGAAAGCGCTATCAAGTTACAAGGGAAATGGTCTTCGCCGGGTAAAAATTCGAAGAAGTTTACTTGCTGCAGTAATGATATAACAATTACTTGGTATGCCAAGAAACAAAACACACTTATTTTACATGGAAATACAAGTTTGGTACTGATTGATATGCTGATCAAAGTCTGTAATACCTTGTTAACATCTTGCGATTCCACAATACCTCATTTGATAACCAAAAAAAAACAACAACAAGTTGGAAAGTAGCCTAGTCGAATCAAGAAATGATGCAAACACCAATGATATACCTGCGAACTCAGCTGCTGTTAAAGTTTCCGCAGAAATGCATGAACATGTACCCGAAAATGATATTCAAGCTAAGAGATATGATGAAGAAAGATCGACCCCATCTTTGTGCGAATATTTACGCAAACCTGATTGCGGTTGTCAATGCGCTGTGTGCCAATGGCTGCTGAACTTGAAGGGGTCAAGCTTGACATGCTTATTATGAATAATAATATGGAGTCAAAAATATCTGCAGCTATCAATGTACGGGAGAATGATGAAATAATCCAACTTAAAAAAGATCTTTTTAACGAAAGGAGAAAATGTAAGCAACTCGAAAGTGATTTAGCTATTTTAGCCAGGGGAAGAAATCAGGAGATAAATGAGTTGAATAATACTATTGTTTGCCTTGAAAATAAACTCAAGTCAACTGAAGCGAGTAATGAATCTTTAAGTGAAACAATAATGCGCATAAATTCAATTAAACTATTGAAATCAAAACAATGCGGAATGCTTCCATTCCTGAATCGGACCAAAGAATGTGATCAAATCAATAACGACCGTATCGAGGTGGAAACACCGGTACGTGATAATATGAAGGATGTATGTCTAAAACCGAATGACATAAACCCGAGAATAGTAATGAGGAAAACGAGAGGGTAGTCAGCCTATGGCAGCTAATGTACAAGCTAGCCAAGAGGTAAATACTAATTTGAACGCCTCGTTGCAGTTGGAAAAAAGTCCTAAAGGAGAGATTTCTAAAGTTTATAGTAGTGACCAGTTTATTCATAACCCAAGTGGCCCTAATCCATCCGAAGGTCAGAATGTCAAATCTCATAGGAATAGTATTTTACCCAACCCGCGATCTTTACGACAAGATACAACCTGGATTAACTCCTTACCCTTGATTGATACGTCTTGTACGCGTACTTCCAGTCGCACACAAACTCGTAGTCGCTCCAACAGAACTTATTCTAGTAAAACTACTAGCTGCAATAAACCTAATCAGTATCAAGCTGCACGGCAACAACCATCACAAAACCGTACTCGGAGTTTTCAACTACATTTCCCCAAGCACAATCGTCTCAAACATTCAGTAAATCAGAATTTTCTCGTTCCCGAATGAAAGAATGGTCAGTCTATCTCGAATTCATGCGTCAAGTAATGAAGAACAAATAACCTCCCGAAGTCACACATAGAACGAACATCTCCGTCCATATTACAGACCGTTCTATAGATCGTTTAAACAGCACAAAAAGCGCAAGAATTGCTATTTTCCCTCCTCCAACCTAAACCATATCACAACTTTAAACCATGCTAATAAGGTTAACAAAGAAACGATACTCCCATGTTTCTTTTTACTTAATTCCCGCTCACTCCTTCCAAAGCTGGACGAATTGACAGCACTACTAAGTTTCAAGCCCATTGACATTATCGCAATAACTGAATCATGGTTACATGAACACATAGACAGCAGCTTATTGTCAATTAACGATTACAATTTATTTCGTAAAGATCGCGCAATTGGTCGAGGTGGCGGAGTTTGTGCTTATATTAAAAAAGACATCCCCTGTATACGACGGGTAGACCTAGAAAGTGGTATCGTTATTTGTGTCCTGTATCACCCACCTGGTCTGACAATATCGGAACACAACGATCTTAATGAATATTTAATTAACACTATTGACCTACTTCGAAATAACCACCCTGACCTTGGTCTAGTAATTATGGGCGACTTTAATGATCTTGAAATTCGCACTTTGACCACCAGTCAAAATCTTAAACAGGTTGTTGACCAACCCACTAGAGAAACAGCAATACTCGATCTTATTCTTACAAACCTGCATAATTTATATGACCGCCCTAATGTCCTTCTTCATTGGGATCCAGTGACCATAATATTGTACACTGGCTACCATCCGTCGATAAGAAAAATCTGGCAGAAAAATCTGGAAAGAACTGCTCCTTCTCGCTTGAACATAGTGGAAGAACCCTGGATCAATCAGAATTAGTTACAGCTTTGAATGTGTTCTATGCATCGGTGAATAGTGACATTCTACCACTTAATTTAGTGGCACTCCCTGCATTTCTTCCGGCCAAAGAACCTGCTCCAACAGTTCAACCACATGAATTAACATTTTAAGGCCCACGGCCCAGATAACGACCCCTGTCGTATCCTGAAAGAGTTTGCCTATGAATTAGTCAAACCTGTTGCAACCATCTTCAACGCATCACTTTCATCTGGGATCGTCCCTGCTATATGGAAAGACTCAGACATCATACCAGTTCAAAAGGCACAACCTCCTATCTGTGAAGGTGACACCAGACCCATTTCACTGACACCCTGCTTGGCTAAGGTTCTTGAAGATTTCGTGGTCGGGTGGATGATAACCGATATTAAAGACAAGATCGACCCCAAGCAGTTTGGATGCTTGAAAGGAACATCCACAACTTATTGTCTTTTAGACATGATCCACACTTGGTTGTGCAACTTAGAGTGTCCTGAAAAACATCTTAGACTTTGTTTCCTTGACTTCGAAAAGGCGTTTGACCGTATAGGACATAATTTATTAATATTAAAGCTGTTGGACCTAGGTGTTAGATCGTCCCTGTTGCCTTGGATTATCAACTTCCTAACTAACCGCCGTCATCGGGTCAAACTTGGAGGAAAAACGTCAGACTGGTTGCCAATGAATGCGGGTGTCCCCCAGGGAACTAAACTCGGTCCAATTCTGTTTTTGGCGATGATAAATGATCTCGATGTGAAACCACACGCAACGGATATTTGGAAATTTGTGGATGACATATCAACATCTGAAAATATCACAAAGGGCAGCAATTCAAAGTTTCAGTTCTGTATTGATACTATAAATTCTTGGGCTTCGTGCAACCTTATGAAACTTAACCCCAAAAAGTGCAAAGAACTACGCGTTTGCTTTCTGCGGGAATCACCTGATCTATCACCATTGTTGATCGACGGTCATGCGCTTGAGGTTGTGCGGTCTCATAAAGTCCTAGGTCTGGTTATCCAAAACGATCTTAAATGGAATGCACACATAGAATCAGTTGTATCCAAGGCTTCTAAACGTTTATATATCATCCGCATATTACGACGAGGTGGTGTCCCTGCGGAAGACTTATTGAGTATATACTTTGCCTTAATACGATCGGTTCTGGAGTACTGTTGTGTGGTATGGCATCATGCCCTACCTTTGTACCTTGCCGATGATTTAGAGCGAGTGCAAAAACGAGCGCTGAGGATCATTTTACCGGGTTACTCTTATAGGGAAGCATTAGCACAACTTGGGTGTTCCAGATTGGATGAAAGGCGAGAACGACATTGCCTCAATACTATGAAACGCATAGAAATTGAAGGACCACTGTCAAAATATGTTCCATTGTCTAGGGCTAGTTCAAATGATTATGAACTTAGAAACTCTAACACATTAACAACAATAAAATGCCGAACAGAAAGATATCGCCGTAGCTTTTTCCCAGTACAGTAGCTCTATATAATAGTTATAGTAAAGAAACTTAAGCGTGATACTTAATTACGATGATTTTAATGCAATTCAATAAGATTTTTAGACTTGATGCATGCAACTAAATTTTTATATATGTAAATATATAGCGTACCAATTTTGTAAACGCACCATAATTCAATCTATTGCGAAGGTGTGTATCTTAAACCATTAATAATAATAATAATAATAATAATAATATATATATATATATATATATATATATATATATATATATATATATATATATATATATATATATATATATATATACAGGGTGTATAAAAAAAAACTGAACAGATTTGAAATTGCTCTCAATTTCGCAAAACACCTATTTGTATCTGTTTTTATATATATAGCTTCTTTGGGTACTTATAATGTAAAATAATGAAAAAAATTTCCCGAACTCAAATTTTGTGAACCAGGGGGGGGGGGGGTCTTTTCCAACAAACTAAAAATGGCTCGCGCACAAAATTTAAAAGCTGTAATAATATTTTGAGTTGATATATTGAAAATTTGTCGGGTTTTTAATTACTGTACAAAATTTCAGACAATTTGGTTTAGTTTAAGCCCTTTAACTATTCATTTTGTTCTAAAAAGTCAGCCTTTCGCATGCTTAATTAATGCGTTTACCTAATTTGCATATTGCTGACATATGCAAATTAGGCAAATGCATTAATTAAGCATGCAAATAGCTGATTTTTCGGGAAAATTGTAACTTTGCGTAAATAGTTAAGGGGCTTAAACTAAACCAAATTGTCTGAAATTTTGTACAGTAATTAAACTCCCGACAAATTTTCCATCTGTTAACTCAAAATATGATTGCAGGTTTTAAATTTTGTGCGCGAGCCACTTTTAGTTTGTTGGAAAAGACACACCCCCCTGGTTCGCAAAATTTGAGTTCGAGAAATTTTTTTCATTATTTTACATTATAAGTACCCAAAGAAGCTATATATATAAAAAACCAGCTACAAATAGCTGTTTTGCGAAATTGAGAGCAATTTTAAATCTGTTCAGTTTTTTTTGATACACCCTGTACACAGGGTGTATAAAAAAAAGCAACATCGGAATTTCCTAAGAAATCACTTTGCAATTCTTAAGCATAAAAGATTTTAGGCCCCTGGGAATTGAAATCGAATTGCTAAATAGATCATATTACTGTTGTTGTGCATTAAATAAATGCATAAATTTTGCTTTATGCACTCGCGTGTGCAGTAATTTTGACAGTTATGCTATTTTAAATTCCCAGGCGCCTAAAATCTTTTGTCTTTAAAACAATGTCGATTTCTTGGGAAATTCCGAGATTGCGCTTTTTTTGATATACCCTGTACATTGATTTGAAACACAGAGTGTCAGAGTTAAGCCTGTTTTCCACTAGGCGGAATTTTGCGCGCGAAGCGGAATTTTTCTTTGTCTTGTGATTTCTCGGGTGGAACTAATTAGAAAAGACAAAGAATAATTCCGCTCCGCGCGCAAAATCCGCCTAGTGGAAAACAGGCTTTAAATGTCAAAATACCGCGTGCCGATACAGCCAATATCAACTATGGTCTGGATGGATTAACTATTGCGCGTAGAGTTAATTTCGGTTAAAGGTGCTGTAAAGTCCGTTAACCGTTCTGCGCATCAGTTCTGCTCATAACAAAAGGGGACCTACAGATATAAACATTGCCCAAATTTTGCTTGCATCTTTCTAACTTTTTTGAATTGAAACGTAGAGTTTATATTCATTTACAAGCATAGCGAACCACAAACGTGCATGTTAGATATTCAGCGGTTACTCATATTTTACAAATATAGCAGTTCAAAATGTAAACAAAATGTTTGTTTACGTTACGGACTTTACAGCATCTTTAAAGTGCCTATATCATGGTTTTGGAGTTTGCATATCTCGAAGGTTTAGGGCATTTTAAGGCACTTTGTATCATTGCAACAAAATTGTCCTTTTGACGTCATGGCCGGTAACTTTAAGAGCTAATAAATCCATCAAGATGAAATTTTTCAATAACAAAATATATTGCAAAGTGTCTTTTTAAAATACCCTAAACTTTCGAGATATGCAAACTCCAAAACCATGATATAGGCACTTTAAAGGTTTACGTCTCGTAGGGCAACCTGTTTTGAATTAGCTGTATGCGTTTATACAAGTCCAACCAGTAGAGCACCAATTTTAAACAAGAATATGTTTATAGTTTGAAATCTGTAAACTTCCTTAATTAAAGAAAGTACATTTATTACACCAAGGGGGGGGGGATGAAGATGTCTTGCAAAAAGCACATATTTTTACAGGGCCCCTGTTGTGGTTATCGGTAAATTTCGATGCCCCCCCTCCAAGTTTTTAAAATTTTCAATGCCCCCCTCTAGAATTCGGAATCGAAGGAGTACAATCCGGAATTCTCTCCGGATGTCTGATATACTCAAGTGCTTCTCCTCAACAAAACTACCGATCTGCTGCTTCTTTCATCTCACTAGCGCCAGATGAAATGGCACTGTCTTTAAAACATTTTAAATTTGCTCTAGGGGTGGAATTATCAACAGGTTGTTGTTGTCCATCATTCAGCGTATTCGGAGTCTTGAACACGTTCATGTAGTGGCCAGGATTTCCTGGATCAGGGTAATGTGCTGGAACCTTACAGTATGTTGCCCCCACCCAACGTATCTCCCGGCATCTGTTGCAAATGTCTTTGCATGCCTGTCAAAAATGCATGCAAAAGTGCCAGTATGCTTCAATTTCTTTAACTTCCATCCCGTTTGTACGAAATATCCCATAAACATAGAACATATCATTCTTGCAAATTGTATATGCTTTTTTGCTTTTTGGCGCGTAAATTACTTCACAAACCTGGCGCAAAAGAATTTAAAATAAGCTATAGGTGATTTCATGTATCCATTTAGAAGAGCAGACAAAGGATATCTTAAAACTGAAATCGGTTTCGAATACAACCATCAGGGACGTAGCAAAGCATCTGACATTTGGGGGGGGGGGTATGTCAGAGGATTATACGTGTAATAATTATAATAAAGCTTTTTGTGATTGATTGGCACTCTTATACTAAGTTTTGGGAGAAGAGAGGGGTCTGGGGGTCCTTCCCCAGAAAATTTTTACATTTTCGAAGCTCTAGGACTGAATTTCTGGCGTTTTCTAAAGCAAATTTCGCAAACAAATTGCATGTAAATTGACTGTATTTTACAAAAATGGTTATCATTTCACAAAAATAATTACTTTATTACGCAAATTTTACCTGAAACTGATGTAAAAATTTTAACTTTAATTTGCTGGGATCAAACTTTTGAAAAGTTTAGAGCCCCACCCTTCAGTATATCAAGAACTTTCAGAGCCCCCCCCCCTTTAATGCCAGAAAATATTTCAGAGCCCCCTTAACATCTTCTTCCCCCTCGGCATAATAAATGTACTTTCCCTTACAATTACAAATCAGTAGGTATTATATCCCACGACATGCAGACACACACTTAGTCTAGTCGGAACAATGAGTTTTAGATCATTAACTGAATTAAGACGAAATACACGGCACTGTCACTGCATGATGACACTATTTCCCAGATCTAGACTTTAAGTGACACCAACTTACCGGGATACCAACAGTTCTCTTCTCTACTTCATCCGACATTGTTTCACGAAGAACGTTACAGGCAACAAAATGCTCTGTGAGAACCAACACGAAGCCAAACAACACAAAACTGATAAAAGACATATTCGGTGAAACTTCTTCTGCTACGGTGAATTTGCTGGAGAAAATAAAGCACAAAAATACACGTAACATGTTTATGAAAAATGAAGAACGATTAATACAATTATTTATTTGTCGTGTTTATATAAGGCCGCCTCACATATCGATTTTGTCCACGAGAAACGTCATATGATTGTTTGGGGGTGGGGGTGGGGGGTTGCAGCTGTGACGTTTCTCTGTAAAACATCATGGAAAAATTCGATAGTTTTTCCGGAAGCGTTAGTCCTTGTGTTGTGACCTCGAAAAGTGCCTAGAAAACGATTTTAATTAAGCATTTCTTAGATCTGAAATATTTTTACGGGAACTAACACTTTCGAACACGCTGATCGAGTTCATGCAAATCCGAAAAGTTCCCACTCCCTACACCCGCAGTTTTCTCACAAACTCCGTAGACCCGCAGTTTTCTCGTAGGTCCCGCTGTGATTTCAAGCGTGCGGGTTGTAATTACATTTATTATTGAATCGGTCCCTGATTAAGATGAACATAACTAATCAAGAACTGTAGGGTCTTCGCTCGAAACGTCGAAATTCTCCTTATACTTTCAGGTAGTTGCATCCTACCAACGAAAGTTTGATATACCTATAATCAAACATCATGCAGCATAAGGATTCCTTATAGCCAACCAATTAATGTTACTTCCTCCATCCTCAATCGAGACTTATCACCCATCTGAAAACGGGGATAACTTACACTAAATAAGCGAAACAGAAAGGGGATGGTCCCAAGAGAAACAAGAGAATGATTCGCATCGGGAAAAGACCTCGAAACTGGACCTGGAAGTGCCGAACCCAGGTGGACAGAACATGAAGCGGAACAAGCTTCGACAAAAGCAAAACCGACGACAAATGGTAGAGAAGCATGACTGGGACGCTCGAAGCAGCTAAACGCGAATGCCTCGTTGCCAGCTCTTTATTGTATATTCACATTATATATTCATACTACAACGTGTTGTGCGTAACAGTGCGGGCGTATCTTAATTCACGGTTACTAACTTTTTATTAACCGAGCGCGAGGTCTTTACACTGCGAGAAATATCGGACCGAGGTCTGATATTTCTTTGTAAAGACCGATCGAGTGAGGCTAATAGAAAGTTTATTATATTGCATTTATAGGTATTTATACTTGAAACAAACAAGAAATGCATGATTTGAAATGCATATTAGTAGCGTGATACACATTTGATCGAAGAAAACAAAGAATACCAATGTATTCCTTCTATTCCACTTCGCAGATATCTTATTAATAACAAATTAAATTATAATTTTCAAATTTTCATTACTTTCCCGTAATGGACCGACGGTCTCGATTACGGGAAAATAATGGACCGCTGAAAGTGCTTCTCAGCCAATCACAGTCCGCCAATTCACCGGAAGTGATGCTTGCCATATAATAATTTCCTTTTATTGTGCCAATAAAATACATTTAAATTAATGCTTAGTTAATTAATTTGACCGCTTATAAACACGGCATTGTCGTTTTACGACTATAGTATAGAGCTCGAGCTATTTCAATTAAGGTTGTCCACGAGCAAAGCGGAAAAGTCGAATACGAGCGCGAAAAGCTGCTGGGAATTGCTATGAAAATTCATTAAGTTTTTAGCGATTCCCAGCTGCCTTTCGCGCTCGTATACGGCTTTTCCGCTTTGCTCGCGCACAACTTTAATTGAAATAGCTGCATGTATACTAATTAAGCATACTCAAGCATTTATACTCAGTATTCAGTAATTCAAACTCAACGTAGCAAAATTTAAAACATTTTTGCGAAATAAGTTGTATCACAGTTAATAGACCTATTAACTGTGGTTGTATATAACCACTTATATAATCGTTATCATCAATTTGAATATCTCCAGCGGCTTTGTCACCTACTGCAGTACTGGTGTTAGAACAGTTAGAGATTTATGGCGTTAAATTTATTCTCAATATAATCCACAACAACAAACAGTGTGATAGTTAATTATTATTATACCCTACATTATACTATTATAGATATTATTACCTGCCTCAGTATGAATGACAGTATAAATGACTTGACAAATGATTGGGTCGAGTGACAGGCATTCAGACGATATTTTGGCTGAAAAAATGGGATTGAACACCAGCTCCCATTTCATGTCCCTCAGTAAACACATGTAGTCCTGCACAGTGACAGAGTGCAAGCCCAGGTGCACGATTTTTGATAATTGTGACATAAAATTTGCTTCATTATTCTTGCCGTCCTTCACTGAAGTCGGAGAAGTCAATGTAAGTCTTGGTAATTTATTTTCGAGACAATCCATTATGGTGAGTGGTTAGATTTGTCAGAGTCATTTGAATTCTGAAAAACTCTTATTATCCATTTTAGATTTTAAGACGCGGCTTTACTGGTTCATAGATTATGTATACTCCTATACAGTACATGCATTTATATATATAGTTCTTTTTTGGGCAAATGACAAATATAAATAGAGACATCTTGGCTCGCCCCATATTCCCTTTCTTTTCCACTTCAAATGATTTTTGCTGTTGCAGAAAGTCCATACTTCTATTCGAGCTTAAGATATAGCAAATTTTTATAAGAGCGCGCTGACCCACCAGTCGAGAATAGATCATTTATGTTATTAGTTTCTATCCGTTCAAACCGCGCGCTTATATGTAAAACAGAACAACTTAAAGCCCGTTGAAAGGAATCAAATAAAACTGTATAGGAATCAAACAGTATACTGCATCAACTAGTTTGATAGTCATGCAGTGGCATGCAACTTACCAAATCAATTTTCTCTGAGAGGTTAATTTCCCCAAATTAATATTTTCTTCGAGTTGCTCTCGCTACCGGAAAGTGCCTCACAACTGACAAGGAAATGTGTTTTGTCATGGTTTGATATTTTTTTGCGTAACAATGAAGACTATCAAAGTGAAAGAATTTTCTTGAAACGGAAGATTGTCTCTTGCTATATACTACGAGATGAGATAACTTAATCTTTATAGGCAGGTCCATATTTAACCATGACGATATCGCTATATGATTTTAGTTAAGCTAGCAACTACGCAGGTTCAGACATATCTTCGTAAAATTCAGTAAAATCATCAAAATCCAAAAATTTTTGCGAAATAAGTACAGGTTAATTCCTTATATAATCGTTGTAATGTATTTGAATACTATCTCCAGCTTCATAAAGAGGTTCCTGAAACGGAAGGACACGAGGGACAAAAATTTATTTTCAACATAATGTCCACAACAGCAAACATGCAGTGTGAAGTAATTATAATATTATTACCCTAGATTATACTGTTAGTTATTATGACTATTGACTTCGCTGTATTTCGTGAAAAGGGTCAACGCTGTGCCGCCGAAAATCGTGGAACATGCAGGGTTGATTTGGATAAACATAGCTAAGAAAGTAATGTACGTCACAATGTTGTAAGGATAAATTGTCTAGGCAGAGTATGTAATATAAGCAATGGTAGTACTTGATGTAATCGGTCATTTAAAAGCACTATAGGATGCGCGGAGCAGAATTGCATGCTCAACATTTTTCATAAAAATGATCATGCTTAGTAAACACACATAATATAGATCAAACATATTTTTTTCACCATTAAAGGGATCGTTTGAGCGAAGAAAACATTCATTACACTGAATAATGATATCAAACTTTTGCCCCAGGTGCATAATTGA